ATCGACGCGCTGGTGGGACGCGCGCGAGGTGAGCCACCGGCCGTGGCGCGAGACGCCGCGGAAGAAGAAGACCGTGCCCGCGGAGCAGACCGCCGCCTACCTGCACACGCGCGAGGTGAGCCCTCCCCCCCCCCCTTTATCTCCCTCAACCGCGTATAATATGTAATATATCGGCGCTCTCTCTGACGTCGTGGTTTAGAGGGTGTCGGAGGCGACGCGCGCGGTGCTCGGCACGACGCTCGACGTCGCGCACGCCGCGCTCGAGCTCTCGTCCGAGCTCCTCCAGCTCGCGCCCGTGCCCGGGCTCGCCGAGGCCGCGCGGACGCTGCTCGGGATCTGGGACGCGCTCCAGATGGTGGACATGAACCGGATGGCGTGCCTCCGCCTCACCGAGCGCTGCGCGGACGTGCTCTGGAGCGTACGCGAGGAGGTCGGCGCCGCGGGCGAGTCCACGGGCGAAGAGCTGAAGGAGCCGGTGCAGAAGCTGACCGAGTGAGTCTCCCCACATATTCTTCCGGTGGTCAGGCTGGGGAGCGATGGCTGATGATATACTGTTCTGTAGGGCGTTTGCTCAGGTTCATGTCGTCCTGCAGAAGCAGGCGCATCGGCCGTTCTTGAAACGGTACTTGAAGCGCGATGAAGACTTGCGCGAGCTGGCGGCGTGCGACGGCATGCTCACCGACGCGATGAGCCTCTTCGGCGTACGTCCCCAGGCTCCCGCTTTTCACCGCGCACCACGGTGCTGACGTGTCGACACTAGCTATCGATACAAATCCGTCTCCTGAAGACCGTTCAAGCCAACGAACGACGCCGGGCCGCGGAGAACGCGGCGCTTATCAAAGCCCTCGAAGCCCAAGCGCCTACTTCGCCCTCCGGGAACGCCCTAGGACTCACCACCGACGACAACCCACCCGTCGTCCCATCAGGGACATACGCTCCCCCTCCGTACGCCCCACCGACACCCCCCGCGCCCGCCTCTGCGGTTCCCCTAGGCCTCGCCTCGCCCGCCGCAACGGTCACCGCTTCGCCCCCTCTCTCGCCCTCCGACCCGGACCGCATCCGCGCGCTCCTGCACCAAGTCCGGTCGCGCCAGAACGAGGCCGACCTCGAGGCGGACGCGCGCGACCTGCGCCAGCTGATGCGCGCCGCGCTGCAGACGAACAGCGACGCGGAGCTGATCGAGGTGCTCCAGGTCGGCCGGGACGAGATGCCGGAGGCGATCAAGACCCTCCAGCGCGCGCTCGAACGCGAGGTCGAGCGCGAGACGCAGGACGACCGCGACGCGCTGGCGATGATGAGCGCGAGCGCGGTGAGCGACGTCAGCGCGATGCCGCCGATCGTCGGCGGGCTGAGCGCGAGCGTGACGACGGCGGACCCGGAGGCGGCCGGCACGCGCGAGGAGCGCGCGTTCGGGACCGTCAGCAGCCTCGCGAGCGTGCGGAGCCGGAGCAGCACGCTCGGGACCGAGTTCACGGGCACGACGAGCACGACGGACACGGACGGCTGGGGCGGGAACTGGGGGCGGAGCGCGGGCCGCGACACGCTCGACCGGGAGTTCATGGAGGGCGGGATCGAGGCGATGCGCCGGATGAGCCGGACGACGGAGAGCCTCCCGAGCTGGACGATCACCCGGTACGAGGTCGACCGCGACGAGAAGATCGGCGTCGGCTTTTTCTCGGACGTGTACAAGGGGACGTGGCGCGGCCGGACGGTCGCGATCAAGTGCCTCGCGCCGACGACGCCCAAGGCGGCGTTCGTGCACGAGATCGCGATCTGGAAGAAGCTCGACCATCCGAACGTGCAGACGCTGTACGGGGCCAGCAGCGCGAGCAGCGATCCGCCGTGGTTCTTCGTGTCGCCGTACTACAAGGTTCGTCGCCTTCGCCTCTCCGGTACTCTCTCGGGCGTCTCACGGCTTGTGGATCGTAGAACGGCAGCCTCGTAACGTATCTCAAGAACATGGAATCGTTGAAGGAGGGGGACGCGCTACGGATGATCCATCAGATAGCGAAGGGCATGACGTACCTGCACGGCCAGGGCGTCCTGCATGGCGACTTCAAGGTGAAGCCTGTTCGTGTTCTGATCTTCGGTGCACTTCTTAATGTGCTAGTACAGGCTGCGAACGTGTTGGTGAACGACCGTGGTCATTGCGTCATCACCGATTTCGGGCAAAGCGAGATGAAGTCGGAGGTTGCGAGGATCAGCGCAACACCCCCGCCTCGTGCGTACCCACGCCATCGGTCTTGAGAGCTCTCTTACTGATGCTTATGCAGATGGCACGTTGCGATGGCAGTCTCCGGAGTTAGTTGAAGGCGCACATCCCCTGACGCAAGCCATGGACGTGTATGCGTTCGCGATGTGCTGCTACGAGATCTTGACCAAGGGTGGCATGCCATGGCCGAACTTGGACGATGATACCGTTCGACACCTGATACTAAGTGCGTGATACGGGTCTTTCACTCTCCCCAGACGTCTCATCGCCCGATGTAGGGGAAGGCAAAAGGCCGCCCTTGCCAGTGCTGGGCCCGAACAGCGCCGAGTTGAACGCGCTCATCCGTCAATGCTGGGATCGCAATCCTTCTTCACGCCCCGGGTTCGCGGAAATTGCAAAAGAAATCAAGCGGATCCGCCACAGGAGCGGAAAGGCAGAGTCGCCGGTCCCACCGCCGATCGATCTGCCCGAGGAGCCTCACAGTCACTGGCCATCTCCTGATCCGCGTCCGATTGAGTTGACCGATGTCGACGAAGGTGAAGTGGATCGAAGTCGAGACCGAACGTCTCATTCCTGACACCCCTTCTTGATAGATCGCGTTCTTGCCGGATCACCGGACACTTGGCCGGCTTCGTTCAAGACTGCCTTGAGTGTTCCAGGGGAGTGGACGCCTACGGCGCGCACGCCGGCGCCCTCGGTCCACGGAGATCAGTCTTCGGACGGCCAACGCAGGGCATCCGAGAGTACGGACGAGCCCGAAGATAGTCGTCTTCCGCATAGTCACTCGTGGACCGACAATTTGGCGTCGCCACCACCACCCACTCAATCGTTCGCTGAGGCGAGGGACGAACGACGATACAGGATGCTGCTGCAGCACGAGTTTCATCAGTCACGTACGTGATCCCTGGCCGCGATTGAACTCGATCTGATAGGATTATTGTAGTAACGCTACCGTTATGGACGCCACAGGGTTGCGTCCCACTAGGCGCCGTCGGTTATCTGTCCAAGCCGGAAGGGACGTTCGTGACCCTACTCAATGCCTTCGACCCGGTCAGATCCTCGAATGGTCTGACCAACACGATGGCTTCCGTCCATGGCTATGGACGCGTGAACACGGGCAGCGTGCGCCAGGACAAACGAAGCGCCGCCCAAAGAGGCTTGGACACCATCTCGGGATGGTTTGCGTTCAGGAATGATTCGTCAACTCCGTGTGTAGCAAAAGCGTCGCTCTGATAAGTATGTAGACTCATGACCGCCTTAGCCCTGGCGTGAGGCGCCAATACTCGTTCCATTTGCACATGGGACACAAGGCAGCCTGGTTTGTTTCGGAGACGACCACCTATCGGTACATTGACAACCTGGAAGCGCCGAAAAAATGGTTCATGGCCAACGCGGACACCATACTTCAGCTGTACCGCCCGAAGCATCCCTTATTACAGAAGGAAGATCTCTACTTCAGTTCGTAATAATCTTGCCCGGAACGAACAACCTTCGCTGACGTTATTATGCAGTCTTTGGCTGTTTAGACGCACCCGAATATGGACAGCTAGTAAGCCACAGCCATCCCGACTCCCAAGTGAGAACCATTTTCCTCTTTCCGCGTATTTGCGAGTATCGACATGAGTGCTAGGTTCATTTCAAGGTTTTTTCCGCGCCCAAAGCCGGACAGCCATGGGGCGAATTTGCGCTCGAGCACGAAGCTGTCGCTGGCCCGGCATACGCTGAAGAAGCTCAGCGAGACTGGAATCACAAGGTTACGAGGGTGTCCGACGGCAGCCGCCTGGACACCGTCATTCTTGCCCGCCTCCGCTTCAAGCCTGATGTCGCAGAGCCGACTTCGCTATGATATACCCTTTATGGACAGTCAAATCATCACTCCAATGGACGGAATCACGCATGAATCGCATCTTTACTGCATGTATAGCAATGTATCTTAGCGGACCCAGTATTTATACCACTGATAATACAACATCGCTCTGCATTATTGATTGCTGGCACCGCGATCTAGCTACAGCCGTTCCTCATGTCAAGGAAGCATCGTAGCGCCGTCGAAGATGACGTTGAGCCAGGCAGCGAGGCGGAAGCCCTGCTTAGCGAGCTGAAGGTCAATCTGTGGCATGATGAGCACTCGACGTCGACCGATATCCGACCCAACTTACGATTGGGATTGCGCCGCTGAAGTACGTGCCCGAGCACAGGTCCTCGCCTGTAGAGAAGTTGAACACGAACGACTGCAGATGCGAGGAGTCAGTGCGTAATAATTATGGGACAGGTCCTTCCACTGACGCAGTCGAATGCGTTCGCATCGGCGGCCCAGACAAGAGGACACGCCAGCGGGGTGATCGCGTTGTCGGCGCGCCCGATGATAAGCTCCATAATCTCGTCCTTCAGTTCACGCTTCGAAGACGCGGGTTCGGTAATAGAAGAGCAGGAAATGAAAGAAGCGGCCTGCTTGCTGAAGTCGCCGGTCTGAATAGGGAAGGTTTAGTCGTTCTAGTCGTTCGTGTGGGAACCGTGTATAGGGCATGGTGCGAACCTTGAGTCTGGTAACGAGCGAGTTCGCGTAGGTCTGGACGTTGCTGTTGAAGCTCGTGTCGATGTGTTTGGTCAAGATGCCGGTGTCTGAAAGAGCTTCTCAGCCTATTCGGTACGTGCCGGTGCAGTCACTCACCCCAGACCTGCAGCGCGGGAGCGATCAATGAAAGAGACAATTGGAACATGAAATGGGTAACGTACAGCATGAAGGTTCGTCGAAGACTCTCCGGAGCACTTTGCGCTAATATCGTTTCCCCCAGCTTCGAGGGCCTGTGAGTATTCAAGGGTCAGTTCCGCTTCTCGAGAGAGCATTGTGAGGGACACTAAGCACACCTCGACATGTAGGGGCTGGCCGATGTCTCCGAGAAACTAGCCCGGACATTAGTCAAAAAGTCAAAAGGCGTTATTGTCTACGAAGCGCATACATGGTCTTCGGATGTTCTCAGTCAGTGCTGGCCTGACATCTGAGGGAAAAGACGCTTACCGATGAACTTCAGGGCTTCCTGCCGTTGTTCGGCGCTGAGCGACGTCATCTGGACTCGCGTGGTGTAGTTGGCAATAGCGGTCAAGATGCAACGCCCGTTGGAACAGTCGCGCGTCTCGGAAACAGAGCAGGATCCGTGGAGAGGGTCGTCTGGTACAGTAAGCGTATGAGCGGGAATATGACGGTGATGCCGATAATGCGGATCGCTCACCCTCAGCATCAACGAAGTGTAATGCGGATGACCAAGAAAATGCCGCCTCCGATTTCACTTCGTCTGCCCACTACTCAAACAAACGTGAGAATACGTGAGATGAGAGGTTTGACCTCTGCGATACGCACGGTTGCTGCAGGTCCGAGGGATTCGTTGTACTGAGCACCCAAGGACGACTTGACGAACGAAAGGGCCTTCGGCGCTAGGAACTGCGGCCCTGGGGTGTCGGGTTCAAACATACAATAAACATGCGGGCGTCGGATACCTGTTGGGCGACATATCTAGCGGAAATGACCTTCGGTGAGCCATGGTGATGCTCCACAAGCGAAGAGGGCGAGAAGAGTAGTTGCCTACCCTACGGTCTCATGGCCTAGATTTCCCCACGCCGCGGCGCCTCGCACGGTCAAGAACGCCAACAGCACCGAGGAAAAGAGGGACTTCATATCGCGACAAAGATGAAGATGTCCCAGGCACCGGCGCGAATGTGTGCGTCGAGTCCGAGCTCACCCTCCATGCCCGCAGGAGTCTTATACCAGAAAAACAGCTTCTGTTCACCATATGGTTTGTAGTTATATTTGGAGTTTTCTGCCTGGAGCCCATGTGCGATTTGAATCGATGGATTTGTTCTGCTCAGGAACGTGTGCTGGCCTGTCGATAAGCTTTGGAGTATGCGCTCACTATCGCTCCCCGCGAGAACAGTGGATATCCTGAGGGACGATGGAGGGTGATCGCAATTTCCGTTGCGAGACATGAATACGTAAGGGCGAGTCGGCTCGAGTTCATGATTGTGTCCATGGTCCACGACGGCCTGAAAAGCAGCAGCGAGACCAGACACGAGCTGAACAATAATGTGTACAGAAATCCCGAGCAAACGAGCAAGGCTCGAGGGTGGCGTTGATCGATCGTCGTCATTGTGAGAAGAGAAGGCCCGTAGGGAAAATGCGTAGCCTCGTGCGCATGGGCTCGAGCGCGTCGAGCCCCTCGCACGTTGCGGTCCTTGTGGTGCACGACGGATGCGGGAGTGAACGTGTTTGCGTGCATGTATGCGCTTGTGTACGCGCGTACGATGTACTTGCAATGCGTTACACAGCCAGTGTGGTGAGAAGGGCGTGCCGTTCGCAGAGGAAGTTCGATCGGTCGGTTTTCGACCCCGAGCGACACAGCGGGTATAGCATCGTTGCCTAGAGAATGCGGCACATCTGATACAGGCCTACGCAGGCTGGAAAGGTCGACGTCTGTGCATGTTGAAAGAGTAGAAACGTTTCCCACGCGTTGCCCAACAACCACGCAAGCGTCACAAGCACACCAAGAAAAGTTGAGTCATGCGAGCAATAGATTCATAAGGAGCGACAGTGTACAGAGACATATATGGACAGACTAGGCGTCCATACACTATATGGCTTTATACAAAAAAGCTCTGCTGTAGTAGATAAGTATTGATGGGGGGGACGACGCTCCTCCAAAAGGCGTATACGCTAAATTTAGTGCGAGTGTTCAAAGTAGGGATGGATAGACGATAACCAAAGAGAGGATAGCGATGTGAGTTTAGTAGTCAAGAGAGAAATTGTGAGTCGACTGCGAAGACGAAGGAGAGTAGGGAGGGGATGACGGAGAATACGAAAACACGACGCGAAGCAGAAGAGACGAGACAAAAAAGGGTTGTTACCCACGGAGTCGCGCGAGGAACGAAAATGTGGGGGCGACGATCCGTGTGGGGTGATAAAGAGCGAGGAAATATGCACAGGACGCAAATGGGGGGTGAGGGGTCTCGGATCACAGGTGCGCCTGGATCCTATGGTGGTGGTCGTGATGGTGGTCCTCCACGATGCCGGTCTGCTCGATGATGTCGCTGCGAGGACGGTGAACCGGCAGGGACTGCACGAACTCGGCCCAGAGTCGGTCGTCCGTGATCGGCGCGCAGACGTACGCACCGACGCCCATGCCCTCGACCCATTGCGCCATGTTCGGCCGTGCAGCTTCGAGCGCGGCGGCTTCCATCCTTGCTGCACCGTCGCGGGTGACGAGTCCGGCTTCGACGTACCAGGCGAGGTCGGCCTTGACGCATTGCGAAACGTAGAGATCGACGAGCGTCTGCGGGACGCGGTCGGCGAGGGCGGCCTCGTACGCCATCCGGTGCGAGATGGCCTCAACCATCGCGCGGCAGCGGGTGAGCACAAGCGAGGAGAACTCGGGGGAGCGGTGGCCGACGCGCCGCGCGAGGTCTTTGTACTCGGCGAAGACGGCGGCTTCATGCTTGGCGAGCAGGCTGGTCGGGTCGCGGGGTGCGGGGAGGGCGTAGCGCTCGAGGATGAGCTCGTTGGCGAGACCTGAAGGAAAGACCCATTCGTCAGCGACGAGACGGTGGAGGTTAACAGAGACATACGGATGGAGAGCACGAGGGTGTCGCCCTCGGCGATGCACATCCCGCGCAGCTCGGCGAGCTGCTGGATGATCTGGTTGTGGCCGAAGAGCCCCTGTGCGCCGCAGCGTTCCGAGAGCTCGTAGTGCGACGCCTGGGCATGCGACATCATCGCGGCCTTGAGGCATGTCGCGACGCCATGCCGGGCGCGGGGGTCGAGCGAAGGATCTTGGAAGTGCTTCACCGAATACCGGCTGAGCGCGTCGAGCACGTACGACTGCGCGACGGCAGTGTAGACGGGGAGCTCCTGGGTCTGGAAGGAGAGGATGGGGACGCGCTTGCCAGCTGGGGAGCCGACGTGCCGCCGAAGGCTGTACTTGTACGCGACGGTGGAGGCGACCTGGAGGTAGGGCACGGCGGTGGAGGAGAGGCAGAGCGTGCCGACGCCGATGCGCCCGATGGCGCTGAGGAAGTCCGAGTGCGGGTCGACGGACACGGAGAGTTTGCCGAGGAGCGCACTCGGGGGGAGCTGCACGCGGTTGAAGGACGTGATGCAGTGCGGGACGGGGGCGGCGCCGTGCCGTGTCGGGAACTCCCTGGATACAAAGAGTAGAGTAAGAGAAGAGTTAGATCGAAGGTCAGAAGCACGCTAGATAAGAGCAAGGACTGACCGTGCGGTGATGCCCTTGGACATGTAGTAACCGTCATTCATGCGGACAATGAACGGACGGATGCCGCGACGCTCGCCGCCGACAACCAGCTGGGCAAAGACAACGGCGACGCAGGGTCGCCCGAGCACGGGCGAAGTAGGCGGCATGCATCTATTTCCCATGTAAGCTTCTGAGGCACAACAATAAAACACAATAGAGGGGTAACGTACTTCGCATCTTCAGCCGTCGGAGAGTTCAGCTCGAAGTTTCCGTTAGGAAGCAGCGTGGCTGTCGTGCCCAGGTTGTACGCGTCTAGGCCGTGGCCCACCTCGGTCAGACAAAATTGCCCACTAAAATATGACAATTGATCAGAAGCTGCGGACAAGAACAGTAGCGCATAATAAGGAGTTACTCACAGAGTTTTGAACTCTGATAGGCTTTTGAGTAATGGCCGCAGGTCTGGCCGTTGGGGGAGGAAGGAGGAGATGGTGCCCATACACAGGTTGTAGTGGATGGTCATGATGGTCAGCGCGGAGGCGTCGAGCGCAAGGACGGGGTCCTTGTGCATGTCCCAGAACTTGTTGGAACATGTCGCGACGTCCTCAATCGTCATGCCTGAGACATAGGTCAGCAAGGGCACAAGCAACTTAACCCATGTCGACACGAACCATATGCACGGCCGATGGCCTCTGCGCGCAGGTACCCGCGCTCTGCCTGGTGGCGCGCATCGGGCGTGGGGGGAGTGGAAGGGCCCGCCTTGTTGTAGAGATCCGAAGAGAGAAGGGACTGCGAAGGCCACATAGCGCCAAGAACAGGAGGAACGGGGGGGCAGAGACGGTCGGTCGTAGTTGGCGGGCTCAAGGTATTTGTACTCGGGCGCGTGGGCGGCACGTTCAGGCGTACGGATCACGGCGTTCAGGAAATAAATATCGGACGTGCATATTTTTTGTGTCCACAGCCCGTCGCAGCGGGCTTCGCACGATGAGACGCGGCATCACGTTGCATAAATTGGAACGTGAAGGGAGTTGGCCGAGATGAGATCGCCACCCGGATGGAGGTCCGAGTCAGAGAGACAACCCGTCGCCCGGGGAATCGCCCCCAAGCGGCCCGTGCTTCCCACGCCCCGTGCAAACACAATAGCCCCGCTGGCTGAGTTTTTACCAACTGACTCCGCTACCACCAAATCTCCGTTCGGGGCTATCTATAACTTGCATATGCCACAAGACAGCAATGTCGCATGCCCGAACGTTTCGCACCGGCCTGGCTTCGCGACATTGCATTTGCATTTCGTTCTCGGCGCGTTGCTTTGGCGCGGCGGGGCGCGCTTATTTTTCCAGCGCTCCGACCCTGCCAGGGTGGCTATGCTGAAACGCATTAACCAACTCCGCCTGTGCGCGCGGAAATTGGTATTTTGACTCGGCGCGTGCATTTCACTGCCCCCCCTTTATTGTCTGCCTCTCGCAGTCCGCAGGCTTTCGTTCCCTCCCAGATAGCGTTGCAAGATAGGCTACGAGTCCCAGACAAAGCGAGGAATAAACTCCAGTCAAGCACCCATCCCAGATCGACCTGGAAGTCCCAGATACCGCTCAGACAAAACATCCTCACTTGACACTCGGGTGTGGCTCTCCGAGAATCCGCGCGCTCGGCGTTTGTCTGGCCCTCGCGAGCGCATTGTGCTACGAATCTCCGCCACTGACGGGGGTCCACAGTCGTCATCAGCACGCTTCGCGGCGCTTTGACTTGGCCGCTCCCCAGTTCCCTCCTTCTTCTCCTTCTGCGTGGGACCACAACGAGGCGTCGAGTCGCGCCCACGAGCAAGATCCATCTCATCTGGCAATGCAAATCATCCCTTAACCGAGGCCCCATTGTACGAAGACCGTGTTGCCTCGACCCCATCAGCCGCGACCCGTCCGCATCAGATGAATCACGCTCGTATATCCTCACTAAACACTGCGGCCGAACTGGGTGGACGTGCTTACTCGGTCCTCGCCCGCATGCGCATTTCTCTTTTGTTCTCCACTCGCCCCTTCCTGCTCCTATCGCGCCCGATGATCCGACCCTGATTGCCTGCTATTAGCGTGCATATCGCTATACAAATAACGACGATACGAAATGATCCATATTGGATGTGTTCCAGCCCATCAGCTGGGCAATATATTTCTTTCCCTGAATTAATGAGAACGGGACAAAGCGCGCATGCATTATTTTCGTAGCACGCCACTGCATTCTTCCGCGTTCCCGGTCGCGGGAGCCGATCGCACCGGAGGGCACGCACGCGGCGCCAACACGCACCCCTCGATCTTCTGCTCTCCATCGTCCATCTATCGTGTCTTGCGCGACCGCTCTCGAAGCTACAGACGAAGACAGCGGGCTCTTCCATGCCGTCCTGAGGATCTCCCCCGGGGGAGACACGTGCATTCCCTGGATCTGCGTGTCGATCTACGTATAATGAGACAGGCGGTTAGCCTTCGTCTGTCGGGTCCATGCAAGACACTGAAGAGGCAGCGATCTGCTCTTTCCAGGAATTTTGTGGCGCTCCGATCTTGAACAGCTGTTTATTCAATCGGCTTGGCTCCGGGGTATATACAGTTAGGACAGGGCATGTCTCACCCGCAGATGTGTTCGCACTTGCTGTCCGCCGGTGCCGATGACTTCGTGCTACCCTCTGCTGTGGACTGTGGACCGTTGATGCTAGAGCTCGGAGGTCCCACATGCGCGCATACCCCGCCCACCACCACGGCATGTCATGCGCGGGCACTGCGGGCAAGGGCCTGCCGTCGGCGCGTATTCCTGTCCCCATCACTTGAATCCGCCTCCGGCACATTCCTCCCAAGGGGAACATAAACAACACACGTCTGTGCCGGTTTTCTATTCTTACGACGACGCTCGTAAAGAGGACATAGCCACTTCCGCGCATCCAAAGTTGTTCCGTCGCTCAGAATACCGCGCCGCGCTCGTCGGGACATCGCGCATCTCTCCGCCTCCGGGCTCTCTCTCGCTGTGCGGTAATGCTGTAAGGGGATCCAATCTATACCGTACGGCGTTCTCCGGTCACTCATTCAGCGCGGCATCAGACGATCGTGGCGAGCGGACGGCGTTAAGGATTGGTACATACTTTGTAAGCCGTGTGTAAGCTCGTCCCACCCGATGACATACCCGCGAGTGACCTCATGGTATCGATCAGTTTGCCGTTGCAGTCAACATCGAGGATGTATGTTATGACGCCTACCTGAACTTCGGATTTTGGCAATCGTTTCGCATCCGGGTTAACCTAATCCATTCGGAGATACTGTATAGGATATTACGCCGAGCGTAGTAGCGATCGTAGTAAGCCTACGTGTCCACATATCCTCGTTTGATGACTCGCCGGCTGCAGTCGCCTCAAGAAGGATGTAATGCCGAGCCGAAGTTTCAACAATGTACGAGAGCCATACGTATCTTCCTGCATCCGATACGACCCGATACCAATATCCTGTGCGGTTACGCCGCTCCCCGTCACCTGCGATATACGTGTATGTATATCGCAGCCGCATTCTGAATTTTGTTTTGAAGGAGACCTTTCGTCGTCATGTTTGCGCATAGCGTAGAGAGATTTCGGCCAGTAGAGCTTCGGGCTGTGCCGCTGCATGCGCGGGCATCAACGCGTCTCATCCCCATCCCCCGTTTCTTCCTGTTCTTCCCTCCATGCCAGTTCTTCCACCTCCGTGTTCCGCTGGCGTTCCGTCCATATGTTCAACATCGCCACATCGCCACTCGGTGCCGACCCACATGTCCAAGGCACACATACATACTGCCCATCCCATTCTCACCGCGCTGGGACGTCGAATGGAGCCTGCGTTGTTCGTTTGTGCCGAAAACTTCTTGACATAGGCTCACTCTGTCCCGTCGGCACTTCCATTGAGTGGGCGCTGGTTTCGCTCCATTCCTGGCGAAAGCTATCCTGCCGGCTGTTTGATTGGGGGTTCCCTTCGCCTGTACATTGTCCGCAGGTACATCTCGTATCGCCACTTGCGGAGTGCTGAGACCAGGGTATCTTTAGCCACACTCGCCCAGGAACGAACATTGTATAGCCGTCCATATTGATCCGTCGAAGGGGATCACATGGATCCATCGCTGCGTTGCGTATACAAACTTGGGAGCTGCAAAGCAATCGATTGCGAAGGCACCAAACGCATCTCACCAGCATCTACAGCATGCAAGATATATGTATATATAATTCATCCGCGTATAGCATCCGCATCAGCTAGGTCTCGAGCGCCATACGATGAGACAGCGAACCTGCTGCTGCGGAAGCAGAACAAGCTTTTGCCTCCGAAATCTGCCATTTGCGGGTTTTGGCACAGCCGCAGCGGCTGGAAATCCGAAACCGGCAAAAGCGCCGCTCGCGGAGCCGAAAGCGTGAGTCGCGGACCGCCGTTTGCCGGTGCCAGGGCAAACCCCCCTCCGAGCCCGACGTTTGCTTTGATGATGGCTCTTCGGAATCCGCGATATTCGCGTTTTGCTCTGGAGAAGTCACTCTTGCATCATGCCAACCTACTTCTGATATTCTGAAAAGACCTGAAGGCACACTCAATGATAGAGCGTACCATGTGGATCTCCCTCTCACCGATATGAATCCTCCATCATAGCATCATGCGCGCTTCAGATCGACGCTGGCAGCCCATTGTCCTCCGCATCGTCCCTGGGCCTGAATCAGAACGGCGAGGAGAGTAAATGGTAATTCCGTTTCTGGGTGATCTGCCGCGGCCGGCACCCAGACTCGCCACGAATGATCTTGAACGGGCGCGAGGTGCGGGCCGGCTAACGCAGCATGATATCGATGTGAAGGGAGAGATTCAATCTGAACACTCTCCAAGTGTCGACAACACGAGTTAGACGGGAATTTGTTCCACGCGGCCATGAAACGGTGACGTGAAGGGGTTGTCGTCGTCGTCGTCACGTTTAGCCGCAAAATTCGAAACAATTGCAAAAAGAAATATGACGGCCAACGGCCAAGTGGTGCGTAGCAGCGCGACCGGACCGGATCCGACTCGGAGCGGGTGCATACTACGGACGGGGCAACGGGCATACCGGTACCCGGACAAGTGTAGCGTCCTTGCTCAGCATTGTGAAGCGAGTTTCAACCGACGTTTTCGCGGGGCAAGAGGATTCGAGTACGGGCAGAATAAAATAGCCATTACAGAAGCGCCACGCAAGATGTTAGAATACAACTCATGGGCTGGGAGCGATCATACAGCTCTGCAACCCTGGAGACCGAGGCCTGAATCCAGCTATGTCAACCAATCAAAGCAAATCCATTACAGTTAGGGCAAAACACTCCGTTTGTGCGATGTCCTTGCTTCGTCTATGTATCGTCCGCGTCATGCTCATTCGGGTGTTCCTCGGTAAGGCGTTCAGTACACCCTGCTGTCGCGCGAGTAGTATCGGCCGTGCATCGGCTGGCGGAAGGCGTGGTTCATCCAGGCGAAGGAGAGCGTGATGAGCGTAAGCAGGAAAAGCATGATCGTGCCCAGCCATGCAAACGCGACGAGCGTAGTCAGAATGCGGCAGGCGTGGAAGCTCCAGCACCAATGTAGGTCTCCCCAGAAGTGCTAGTTTGTACATGCATGAGCTAGAGAAATGGGGGTCAGGTGGGGAGAGGCTCACTGTTGCGATTGCTGCGCCGACGAGCCAGAGTATGAACAAGACAATGAGGCCAATAAGTTCCGCTGCGAAGGTAGAAAAGAAACCGTTCTCGTAGCGGCGATGGATGCGGTGAACGCTGATGCATATTCATGTTAGCGTAAGCCAAAGATCATAACAGAGGTTGTGCGTACACGAATGGCACCCAGAAGATGGTCAGGATAGAGGTGACGAGCAGTTCGGCGACGATGGGGTCATAGAAGTCCTTTCCTGATGAGTCAAAAGATGTGAGTGAGTGCATTCATAACAGACTTGCCGACGATTTACCTCCGTTGAGAGGATCCCCACTTCGGGACAGGAACAAGGAGGTGAGCGTTATTCATAGCAAACATGTAGGACTCGTGCTCACAAGGGAATATGCTCCGTGTAATGTATCCTGTCCGCCGTTAAGCCAAGAAGAACTGCTGAGAAAAGCCACTGAACGATGTCAGTCGGGATCCGCCAGGCGCGGAAATCGAGCATGTGTACGTACCAAGGCGACGTAAAACAGCGTGCGGAAGAGGTGAAAGAACATGGCGGCGGTCGTTTGGGGTCGTTAGCAGGCGGTCAGTGCCGTTCGAATGTAAGTGGATGCTGGGTGATGCGCTGGCGTTCAACGAGAGGTGGATGCTGGGAGTAGGTGTACCCTTCCGGGTGCATTGGCTTATATGGGTGCATGCCTCGTGAAGAACAGTTCTGGGCATGCTGCATGATGTACATGAACATCCCCCCAAAAACGTGTTCAGCGGTTATGACAGCATAGCTGTGTCTTCGTGTTGGTTCCAGGCCCGGTCGACACGATTCGGAGTAGCGACAATGCTCGCGCTTGCTCGAAATGCGGTGCGAACCATCTGTCGACGATGAGCTGAGTATCGTTCGACAAACAGCCAAGGAATCGCAAGCAGACGATGTCGAGCAGGACACGAGGCGACCTTGAGGTTGTGAGCTTTCTCGCGGAACATCTGACTCCGAGTTGCGCGCGGTTGCACAGGATCTCTCGCGGCTTGCTCTTAACGACGTCAGTGCATTCAACGAAGTTCGGCTGCGCTTGTAATGCGTCGTACAGCTTGAGCGGGTGGCCTTCTCTCGATATAACCCTAAATGTGAGTCGATGAAGATAGATGGTACATAGATAGGAATGGACTGAATGCATAGTTTTGTAGGCGTTCTCCTGAGCTCCGTACTATATGACACCCTCACTTCGTCAATCCCGCCGAATCGTCAGTCACAGACGGGTAACGCATCGGAAGCACTTGCCGCCATCAAAATTTGGAACTCCGCCCGACTCTTCGTTGCGCCGTTTCTCGTCCCCCGCCGGTCATCGCCCTACTTTGTTAGTCCCTTGCGGGCCCCATTAATCAACAAAAAGACATGGATAAAGATGAAATAGAGATCGTCGTTGTGTTCCGTCAACGTGTCGGTGCGCGTCGCGCGGCTGGGCGTCAATGCGCTTGTGGTTTTTGAATTCCGCTCGGCTATTGTCCTGCCGCGTATCGGCAGCTCATCACAGCGTGACTCTGCTCGAGGTAGCATTGCTCGAGTTTCAGTAGATTAATTCTCTTGATAATGCGTGGAACATGTTCAGATATGTACTATAAGCTCCCAGAGCCAGAACAAAGCGAAACGGTGTGGTGGATGTTGAGATATCAAATTCTGACGATTCGGCGGGAGTGACGAAGTGAGGGTGTCATATAGTATGGAAAGCAAGAGTGAGCAGCTCATTTGCCGAGTTCATTTGGCTAAGCGAGGGCTGTGCACTGGACCCCGGGAACCGGCTATTTCAATGCATATACTGCAGTTATCAGTGTACATACAGCATAAGTCAATGCTATCACCTAAGGGACATGAACCAAGATGTATCGAGGCACAAGATATACCCAAGCCCGATGCGTTGGATGGGGTGATATCTAAGTGTCAAGGCCTGAGGATTGGAACTCGACTGTCCCTAAGTCTCAGGGGCGGTCGAGTTCTAATCGGGCCCGAGTGGGATACGCTGGCAAGAGCAAAAAGACACGCACAACATATCAGTCATTCAGTCACTTCTATGTCACGGTACGACTGTAAATTCAAGCTACAAGATTGTACTTACCCGCTACCCGTACTACAGGTCTACCCGAACCTGGTGTACCCGACCCGTGCCGAAACCGCAGGTACATACCTGCAGTTCACCCAGGTCCATGCATACCGTGGTAGACCCTACCTCGGCGCAGCATGGAGGGCGGAGCCCGCAGCGTTGAGGAGGCCGGGGGCTGGGCGTTGAGTGCCGGGGCGTGTGGCGTGGAGAGCGGAGCGCGCATGGTGGAGGTCTCGGCGTGCGGTGTTGAGGGCGGGCGGACGGGTGCGGCATTGAGCGCAGCGGTGCGCGGCATGGAGGGTGGGGCGTCGAGGAGGCCGGAAAGCGGGGCGTTAGCACCAGGGCGTGCGGTGTTGAGGGCAGGGGCCTGCGGCGTTCTCAACGCCGTGGGGCACGACATAGGGCGGGGCATGCATCGTCGAGGAGGGCGGGAGGCGGGGCTTTGAGCAGCGGGGCATGCGGCGTTGAGGGCGAGCGGGCGGGTGCGGCGTTGAG